AGGAAGAGGGGTGCAGGGCCCTAACTCCCCCACACTCCGCAACAGAAGCCCATTTATACAGTAGGCCAGCCGGTGTGTAAAATGCCAGGGGGAGACGCATTTGCCTGCCCAGCAGTTGCACCGTCCGTGTATTTCTTCACCTTGTGTGGCAGCAGCTTTGTCATGCCATAAAGTCTGTGCACGTAAGTGAGCCGCGCACGCACGTTCACCGTGTTCGTGCCTGCGCTACGCTGCACCGGCCTCGCACGTTCAAGAAACGGGACCAGCCGTGGATGCTGGTGAGGGCCCGTCAGAACAGAGCAGCTCCGAAGGGACCGTCGAAAAGACAATAAAGCCCCTGACTATAAAACCTGGCTTTACAAAGTCGCTGAACTTACAGCCAAATGCATCGGGTGTGGTCAAGTATTTTCCATCCCTAAGGCTAATCAGCCTTTTCTAAGGTGATGCTATTTTATTCTCTGTATTTTAAAACAAGGGCATTAACTAAGGCCGGGCCCGCATGCACACACACGTTTAAACGTCTATTAACAAGCAAAGGAAACTAGCCCCCATCTCCCTATTTAATAATAAAATTCACATTGCAACTGGCGATTTTGCAGTATTGTTTATTTCTACAATATGCTTAAAATGTGACATTGTGACTCATCCGCTGCTCTTGTTTCCCCCGAAGGCAGAGTGAGGGCGCTGGAGTGAGTGAGACTCAGAGCACAGTAGGTCAGGTATTAATGCCATTACATCATGTGATGAAACCTCCCGGAATAGATCCCACAGCTTCTGCTCCTGGCCCCCTCCCCTAGCACCTGGGCTGGTGCAGCGTCTCTGACCTGACCCTGGGCGCTCTTTGGAACAAAGCCCTGGTCTCCTTGCCCTCCTCTTCCCAGGGGCAGCTGAGCTGGCCCCGGATAGGGTGACCAGATGTCCCGATTTTATAGGGACAGTCCCGATTTTGGGGTCTTTTTCTTATATAGGCTCCTATTACCCCCCACCCCCGTCCCGATTTTTCACACTCGCTATTTGGTCACCCTAGCCCCGGATGCCCTTAACAGCAGAAAGACCTCTCCTCTCACCTCCCTCTCCAGTCCATTTTCCATCCCCATCCCCAGCTGGTTCTGGGACGCTCCTCAACTGGGCCCATGGGGCTTGGCAGCTGAGTGTTGCCCTGGGGCAGGCAGGGGCTCAGGAATGGAACGACCCCTAACTCTTGCCCGATCCTGCAGGGACTAGCCCTGCTAGTGAAGCCAAGCTGCCAGCCCTGGGTTCTGGCTGCCCCGGCCCGGGCGTTCTCCTAGAGGTCACAGTGGGAAGCTGCTAATGGGCTGGGATTTGCCGCAGACACAGAAGAGCCGGAAAATGTGATTATGCTCAGGACCCCCCTGCTTGCTCTGACTCAGTTACCGCCAAGCCTCTTTCTAATTGACTTAGCGCTTGCCGGGCACTTAGTGGCACCAGCAGCCCGGGCTGAGTGGAAGGGAGGGTTGCAAGCAGGACCGACTCCAGCTTTTTTGCTGCTCCAAGCGGCGAAGAAAAAAAAGAAAAACCCGATTGAGGTGCTGCCGAAGAGGAAGAGACGGAGTGAAGGACCCGCCGCCGAATTCCCGCCGAAGACTAAAGCGGAGTGCTTGAGCTGCCGCCGAAGCCCCGGATGTGCTGCCCCAATACCGGACGGAGTGCCGCCCTTTCTATTGGCCGCCCCAGGCACCTGCTTCCTTCGCTGGTGCCTGGAGCCGGCCCTGCTTGCAAGGTCAAAAGGAGGCACGGGTGGATCCGGCCTGTGATGCCATCACAAGGGGAGACGTGACGGGGCCCTGGCTCTGGGCTGTCTGGTGAGTCAGGCATCAGCTGGGGCAGCTGCATGGCTCTGATGGTTTTCCCTGCACTGTCGAGCTGGGGGCAGCGTCTTTCTGCACCTCCTGTCCCAGGCTGGCAGGCAGGAGGCTATGTGCCGCTGGGCCCCGTGCAGCAGGGTGAGGAACCCGAGAGCAGCCCACTGCATCACAACTTGGGCTCGGGCTGCAGGCAGCTACCGTCCCCGTCACGTTGGGCAGCCCTGCTCAGAGCAAAGGCCGTGCGCCAGGCTGGTCAGCAGCTGAGCTGAGCTAGGGGTAGCAACAGGGCCAGCTTTAGGCCAATTCAACCAATTCCCCTGAATCGGGCCCCGCGCCTAAGAGGGCCCCGCGCCCAAGCCCCGGCACAGCATACCGGCAAGAGCCAGTGCGCCGTACCAGGGTGGCCCGGCTTCCCCAGGGGGCAATTTAAAGGGCCTGGGGCTCCCAGCATGGGCTGGAGCCCCAGGCCCTTTAAATTGCCACCAGAGCCCCACTGCTGGAGCCCTGGGGTAGGGCTGCAGGGCTCTGGGGGCTATTTAAAAAGTCTGGGGCTCCCATTGCTTCTACTGCCCCGGCCCTTTAAATAGCCGCTGGAGCCCTGCCGCTTCCCCAGGGCTCCCGCAGCTATTGAAAGGGCTGGGACGGTGGAAGCAGGGGAGCCCCAGGCCCTTTAAATAGCCCCCAAAGCCCTGGTATAGCAGAGGCTCCAGGGGCTATTTAAAGAGCCGGGGCTCCAGCTGCCTCTGCTGCACCCCCTGCCCGCACCAGCCCCGCACCCCCTGCCCTGCCCGCAGCCAGCCCCTGTCTCCAGTCAGCCCTGCCTGCATCAGCCCTGCACCCCCTGCCCTGCCCGCACCAGCCCCGCCCCCCTGCCCTGCCTGCAGCCAGCCCTGTACCCCCTGCCACACCCCCTGCCCTGCCTCCAGCCAGCCCCTGCCACACGCCCTGCCCTGTCTCCAGCCAGCCCCTGCCGCACCCCCCTGCGGCCCTGCCCGAAGCCAGCCAGCCCCACACGCATCCCTGCCCGCACCCCCTGCCCTGCCCGCACCAGCCCCGCACCCCCTGCCCTGCCCGCAGCCAGCCCCGTCTCCAGTCAGC